ACGAAACGAGGAACAGATTTTTCTCATGTTTCATTTTGCGTTCAGGAATGAACCACTTTAAAAACTCATCATTTGTTTTCCTTCTCAGATACAGACGCTAATTAAAATCTAACTTGTTTCGTTGTTTTGTTTTTCTCACCGTAATACTAGAAGGATGCTTCTGCACTGAGAGCAGATCTCTAGAGCTCTATCAGCACCAGACTCTGTACCCAGTAGCCAACTCTGTGCTGCCCGTTTCCACAGCATTCACCTCTGCCTGACGGGCATGACGACAAGCTCCACCAGCTTCTGTGATCAAAGTGCCCTACGATTACAAATGTGCATGGATCAGAGGGAACCATTACTGCCCGCATTGAGCTCATTCATATAAATCATCAAGGTAATGACGACACATTTAGATTAATTTCTTTTCAGGCAGAAAGTGACAAAACCTCTAAAGTCTAGAGAAATATGAGGGAGATAAAGAAGGATTTCACTTCTAATCGCAGCTTCAGATCACATACTGACTTAACACAACTAAACATTATGCTCACTGCAAGCCCCTCTGTTTCTAATGGCTATTACTGCCTGTTTGCCATTGTTGGCCTTACAATAGCAGTCATGCTGGGATTTTGTGTGAGTCTTGCTAGCAACAGTTATTAGTCTCCCAAAAGAAATCTGAAGGGGAAGCAGTCAAGAGAAGAACAAGAAGATTTAGGAGTCCTGGGTGCAGCATGAGGGGGTGGGTGGGGAGATGGAAAGGGAAAGGGAGTGAGGTCAGAGGGTAACACAAAAGCGGAAATGGGGGGCACACGGGGAACAAAGGACGGGGCCGGACCAAGACGGGCACTGCTGGAGGGAGGGTGGACTGTGCACAAAACACAGGAAGGTGAGGAGAAAAAGATGAGGGGGTAGAGTGGAGGGGAGCCCCCAGCAGATGGTAAAGGCCGGGCAAATAGAGAGGGGTGGTGCCGAAGGGATGAAGAAGGACGAGCTGAAAAAGCTGCTGGCTACACTTCCATCATGACAGTTGGGAGAAGAAAGTCAGCACCGGGACCAGGCTGGGTCCATTTTGAAGGCATCACCTAACCTCACCTGTTTATGGCTTTTTCCATTGAAAAATGTTTGTGTGGTTAGAGGTTTCACTGCTTTAAGGATCAGAGGCTTTGTCTGACTTCCATACACTGGCTTAAGATTTTTGCTTTTTATTACAGTAAAATTGCAAATACCATCAGATGTTAATGAGGCTCATTCGTTTTGTAAACCAGCATAACAAAATAAGACACAAACAAGGGAAAGGCTTTGTTCACAAAAACATATTAAAAGTGTGATTCACATTTATATTCAACGCTACTTTAGACGTTGTTTTGTTTGTTTTTGTTTATTACGATTACAGCGATGCGGTTTCTCTCCATTAGCTTTGCAAATGTATCAGTTTTTATGTCTTACCACAGATACAGTAATCTTGAGGTCTGGACGTTATCGGGTTGCTTGAACAATTAATATTGATTGGATTCTCTTTCATCACTGAAAGGTTGAACCGTAGCTACAGTCTAAAATGTATCTCTTTTTTTTAAATATATATTTTTTTATGTCTAACATGATTTCTTCCATGATTCATTTCTGTGCATCCATCTTCTCCTCAGCTCTGACCAGCTAATCTGTCATTACTGAAGAAAAGCATCCCACAGTATGATGCTGCCACTAACATGGAGATGCTCAGGGTGAGGAGCAATCTTAGCTTTCTGCTAAAATAGATCTCTATTATAAAGTCTGTTGTTTCCTTTTTGCCTCATCTAGGGCACATTTATCCATTATGTTTACTGCATTTTCTACATTTCCATGTCTCATTGGAACAAATGGATCTTCCTGCTCTCTCCCTCCTCAAACTGTGTTTTCCATATCATTATTCTACAAAGATAAGATTTGTTAAGCATGACTAATTTATGTAGTTTTGTGCAAAAGTCTCTAACCTAAGCTGTGAGTTCCCCATAGACTCTATTTATTTAATTAATTTGGACCTTATCAAATGTTATATGCTAAAAGAAAACATGGTTATAATTATCTTAACATCTTCACTGCCTTGTTCTGAACATATGAGGTAAAGTGAACAGAGGTGTGGAAGAACTTATAAAGTCATTAAATTACACCTTTTCAGCACTTGTGAAAAAACATTAGCCTAATGAGTTCATCAATATTGTGCCTTTTACTTTAGCTATTACAAACCAATTACAGGGCTCATCTCCACCCGTTGACCACAAAAGGACATTTACCAACTCTAGTAAATGTTGTCAATGAATGCCCATGTATGGAGGATGGCTGTGCGGGAAATGCATGCGGGAGCGTGCGGATTAACAGATAGGAAGCCACGCGTCACTGCGCACGGGGTGCGCACTGTTTAAAAAGTTTATTTTTCCAAACATGCTCGTCGGGAATTAAGGATGCATTCTTTATCTATAATCATTTATAACTTTGAATTACATCCATTTAGATATTCTATGATAAATGAAAGGTGACAGGTGACATGATATGGGGTTTAAAACAAAGATCCTTTTCCGCTCCTCGATGTTTTCAGAAACCAAACACTTCGGGCCCTACAGTATAAACAGGAAAACTGTTGGGGTATGCATGAAGTCTTATCTATATCTAAGGAGTCGGAAATGTTTGCTGCTCTGACCTTTTCCCCGCAACTCCGGCAGCCACCTGTCGCCGCAGGTTACCGCACTCCTTTTTTTTTTCTTTTCCTTTTTTACTTCGCTTCAAACAGTAGGCTACAAATCTACACATAAAGTTTCTGATATTAAAATAAGATCTAAGGGTATTTATCTAGTTCTAATGCATTGGAAACAAATGAGATTGGGGTTTTTAGGTCATAAGATTTTAAACATTTGGGGCGCAAAATTCTAACCAAAGCAGTTTTATTCGGGCTAAAGACTAATATAAAATTTAATCTAATCCGAAATTGGCAGATCTTAAAACCAATAAGGTATCCGTTTTTTGTTTTTGTTTTTTTCTGTTTTTGTTTTCTTTTTTTGTTGTTGTTTGTTCTTTTGTTGTTTTTTTCCGAGGTTTACATCAATCTGAAAGCATGTACAAGTTTTATACTCAGATGATCTTCGGGTTATTCTATTTTTATTTTATTTATTTATTTATTTATTTATTTATTTATTTATTTATTTATTTATTTATTTGTAGTTTTGTTTTTCTTATCTTTAGACGCAAACCCATTCATTCACCATAACACTTTAAAAAACAACTATTCCATTTTCAATAACAACTTTCGATACACTCCCTAGATGCCAAGCCTATAACCTGGTTAATTATGTATATTTTCCATGCAAGATACCTGTTTCTGTTAGAAACATGCATCCTATGAAAGACTATCATGGACAACAATAAATGAATAATAACATAGGTTATTCTGACAGCTATTTAATCATTATCATTATTTATATAGGGGTTTGTAAAATCAACGCGTAAAGGATGCCTTTAAAGCAAAGGCACATTTAAAACTGAAAGACATTTCATCCGCTGGAGTCTTGATTTGGGTGTATGTGAATCACCTCTCCCTTTGGCAAGTTAACACATATAATTAAGCTCTATTTTAATTGTTCTTAGTTTTCAATGTGATAGATAGCAATCAGTGGGTTTTAATCCCTGGTTCAACTCTCGGTAACCTCCCTCTCTCCCTGAAGGCTTCTCCTTTTCTCTCCTTGCCGCGTCTCTTTCTGCGTCTGTTTCCACCTGATGTGGGGACTCCCTTTAGTCTCTTGGATGTTGTATTTATTTTAAAACAGTGGTCTCTTTTGTCCTGGTGTTTGGAGGCAGTGCGTTTCAAAGACGAACCCTTAGATAAAAAAAACTGATGAGATAAGAGCTGCAACTGCAGGAACATTTTGGTACCTCTTCTTTTTCTCCCAAAAATATAAAACATACATGTGCCTTCAAATGTTCTCCAGGTTTCTCTCCTGATAAAATGGGAGTAAATGAGAGTTTATGGGAGACAGACTACACGGTGCCATGGATGGGTGTCATTAAAAGTGTGGTGTTTGTTTTACAGACTGGTGAGAACAACTTTAACAGCGTTTGAAACCCACCGGGGTCCCGGCACCCTGCTGTGACGTGGCGCACAAGGCAGCAAAAAAAGCACCACGATTCAGCTCGTCTTTCTCTGTTTGTCAAAACACATTCATTTTGTTTTTATAGCTAAAAATGTAAGTCTTTTTATAGAATGGAGAAAGTAGAAAATAATCAGTTCATTCAGTTTGAGCGCCTATATTTTATCATGGAGGCAGTGGAGGTAATTCTGTATGTATGTATATATATATATATATATATAACTACCTTTATAAAAGTAGAAAAACAAGATATTTCATGGCTTTTTATCAGAAAAACGCATTTCTTTATTCACTTATCAGAAAAATAATGTGAATAAAGACAACGCCTCTTTGGAGGCAGAATTTAAGTTACAGAATCAGGAGGAAAAAATCAAAACGAAAATCCCATTTAAATGGTTGATGTCCGTTTATTTTGCACATAAATTGGAGGGTGACACCAGACTAGGATTTTTACTGCATGCAAAAACTTTTCAACCTTGTTTTTTGAGCTATAGTGAGTGTCCTTAGATAGTCTAATCAAAGCGCGTCTGACACTGGAGCTAAATGGAAACCTCAAGTGTTTCCATACAGTCACTCGGTGGGTGTTATGCCACCAAAACACCCGATCAGTCATCCTCTCTTTTTCTCTGGACTTTTTTTTTTTTTTTTAGAATTCTGACTTTTTTGAGAATTCTGACTCCAATCTCAGAATTCTTCTCTGTCACACTAAACCACACCTTTGTCTTCCTTCTCGTCCAATGGGAGCAGCGCGCAAAGCTGCGCGCATCCCCGGTTGGATAAAGCNTCTTCTTCTCTGTCACACTAAACCACACCTTTGTCTTCCTTCTCGTCCAATGGGAGCAGCGCGCAAAGCTGCGCGCATCCCCGGTTGGATAAAGCCTGGCTCAGTGTTGGCCGCGCTCACTCATCACCATCCAACAGGAGCGCGGTCACAGTCCGGACACTCAGCGCGTTTCACACACGCATCAGTGGGATAATAAAACTAAATCTGCCGTGGACCTAAAAACGGTTTTATTTAAGGCTCCACGTGGGAAAAAAGGTAGGCTCCCCTTTTTGCATCGCGCGGTATTTATTTGTCTGATGCCGTTATTATGATGGGAATATGAGGGGTAATATGATGACCATCATAAGCGGAGCTTTAATGTTTCGATCATAACTGAGCAAAGCGCTCAAAAAGAAATGAGATACATTGGAAATGACTGAAAATGACTACACTGGAAAAAATCTAAATCTAGATAAGCAGTTTTTCCTTAAATTAAGTGAATTTTTCATGGCTTGAGGAGGTAAAAGAGACATTTTGCCAATGGAACAAGTCAATTTACACTTAACACAATTGCGTTGTCTTATTTCAAGTGCATATTATCTGTTTATCTTATTTTAAGAGTAAAGATACCCATTTCATTGGCAAACTATCTAATTTACCTACTCAAATTAAGGGTAAATACACTTAATTTAGGAAATATTTACTTATTTCTAGATCGATTTTCCATTGTAAAGTATGAAGCCATTTACAGACACAATCCAGAAGTTTCAGCTTAAACTGAATATAATAAAACTGGAATTAATTTATATGATCTAGTCGCATATTAGGGAAGATTGTCTGTATTTCATTTTAACTCAAAGAGGCAAAACTATTAGGCTACCTTGTTATTTATTTATTGCCTTTTGGGGGATTGTTCGTTTTCTGATTATTTAACATTTCACTCCAGAAAAGCAGAAACCTTATAAGAAACTATTTATTTTACATGATCGTCTGATAAGACAAAAATTATGCTGCTCTGCGAATTATGGAACACATGGTTCACATGTTAGATAATATCTGTGAAAAAAGATTGAAAGTGTTTCTGTCTAATCTTTTCCTTTTTTGTTCTTTGTTTTTTCTAAACTAAAAAAAAGAAAATCCAAATAAATAAAAAGTTAAAAGAAAAAAAAATCAAGATTTTTTGTTGTGAAAAAGGTCATTTAAGCAAATAAATATTTTAGTTAACAGATGTTCTATAATGTTGTATTAGAATAAAATAAGTTGTTTAATTGAAAAACTACTGTCATTTCTGCACAGGTTCAGATGTTTCCTCACATAAAGTGCACCATCGTTTTTTCATTTGCATAAAATATATTTAAAAAGAAAAGGAAATACAAAATAACAATAAAGTTAATTAAATAAAATTGAACTGAGTTGACTTTTACAGAGCCAAATTACAACAAATACAAATGGATTAAGCAAAATCTGTTTATATGAACAAACTGCTAACCTGCATAAGACCTAAAATAAAATCATACAGTTGGGTTTGATGCATTTACATGTAATAATAAACATAGCATGTTATAATTGAGTAAGAAATTGTTTGTCTTTCATAAGTAAAACAGCTAAGTTTGGTCTCTACTGGGTATGGCCTAAAATGCAAATATATTTTCATTGATGGGGTTGAATTGAAATAATAAGATAAATAATAAGTTCAAATTAGACTGTATCTAAACTCTTTTTCACATTAGCAAATTGGGTTAATAAATGTCATTATTTCATATAAACCTTGGCAGGACATAAGGGCTTTATTAAAACAGTCACTCACTGTAAACTTGTGTCTGAGTAGAATAATTCTGCTTTTGCAAAGCATGGAGATGACTTCAGATGCAGCTGAATCCCGTTGAACCTTCTCAGTATAACAATAACAGCAGCATTATTATTATTGTGATATTTATACTCAAAACTGGATGGAGCCTTTAAACAAGAGTTATACTTATTGTCCGTGATAACAGCATACATCTCAGAATCTTTCAGGGCTCCAAACTCCGCTCTTTCCATATGATGTTTCACACTTTTCAAGTTCGAGAGAACAAAATTTCCAGCTTCTTAGTTTTTTTCCCCCCATAGATATCATTAGATGCACAAACCCTAACTTTTTTCCTTAGTTTCTTCTAGCCGTGCTGTCAGTTATTTGGTACTTGATGTATCTCCTTCTGGAGCCTGAAAGATGTTCCAAGCTTATGGGAGTCACTTAGGATGAAAGAATTTGCTAAATGACAAAATGTAAATTTAACACAGCTTGGTTTGTGACATTCAGAAACTAGCAGACTGGCTCAGAAGAATGATGTTCGCTCTGCATAAAAGCACTTGATCTTAGTCTGTAATGCTCAGCACAAGTTAGCAGACCTAAAAAAGCCGTATATTTAAGCGGAGACACAATATGTACCTTGGATATTGCCACTAAAACAATAATATTACTGAGCATAGAATTTGAACCCAAAAATTAATTAACGAAAAAAGCAGTAAAACAAGCCGTGGATGAAGGATTTACCTTTTATACTTCACACATGCCATGAAATTGTTGGTTATCACAGAAGCTTTTTAGTCTTTGTGTTTCTTTTATTTATAAAAACAAAGAGGTATAGGTACTTAGCTCAGTTTCTGGTTAGATGTCATGATGAGTGGAAGCATGAGCAGCATTCAGGGAAGTTCTTGTAAAAAAAACCCATCAGTTTCATGTTTTGCTGTCCTCCTGCAGTGTGATATTGGCGCTGAACTCCAGAGCACACTCATGTCAGACGAAACAGGAGGCTTACTGAGGGAACTTTAACCGAGCATCACGTTTAGCTGGTGGAGCAGGGAGCTAAAACTCAGGGATATGTCCAGTAGCACTGGAAGAGGTAAGCAAGCCACACCAGCTGCCGCTGCTGGCTTTTATTCAACATGTAAAGTATTTTTGTTGAATCACAAATAAATAAAAACAGACAATTCTGCATTTTTGTTTTGCTCAGAAAGCTAAAATCGATCTGTATTCTAACGAGCTGTTAGAGATGACTGGGCTTTTTTTGCTTGTTGGTTTTTATTATGAAACAATGGAAACAAACTTGGAAACAGCAAGCCAGTGAATTTATTCCTGCCTTAAAAGAGAGAATACCGATTATTGATCAACTTTTCTTAGCACATTACAAAGTCGAATTACACAGATATACAGAAAGACTTGATGATATTTTTAAAATAATTTTTGTGTAATCTCTTTACATGCTAAATAGAGTCAATAATATGCCCTTAACACACAATTTGTTCTCATGAAAACAATTCCAGTTGTTTCAAGGACAAACTGAACTCTTCCTGCTTAGAGGGGGGAAATAAGCTTTAACATAATTTCTTGTTATTTATGTTTTTTGGTCAAGCATATTACATTGTGTTTGAAAATCATTAACGGTAATTTACTTTGTTTTATACATTCATTACATAAATGTAGCTGGTATTGTTTGAATTTTTAGTGCTATTATTACTTTAGGTATGAGCATATATATATATATATATATATATA